CTTCTAGAATGTTGCTACATTTTCTTGGTACTTTAAAAAATAATGTTTTGATGTCTTGTTAAAATTGATGAACGTCTATGGAAACATTGTAGCTGAAGTCATTTTAAGAAACTTTGTCCAAGACGAACATTTTCTATCCCTCAAGTGGACGAAGTTATGTGGTTAAAATGGAGTACACACGGTGGTACCCTCTTTTAACCTAATCTAACACCAACACAGCCAGTTCATGAAAGCATCCTGGAAAATGATAGATATACCTCCATCACTTTTTTTTCTATTTGGTATATGTTGCACATCATAGATCCGCAAAATATATCAAAACGGCAAGGCCTACTGTGCAGCATTTAAGGGGCAAGATGATTTAGAAACATCGGGCCTGTTTAAATCCAAGATTTAAACACGATGCTTCAGAATCCAATAAATGGATGAAACGTGGACATCTCGTACTGAACGTTCCGTTGTTTTGTTATTTATAAATCATTTGTCGTTGGGAGCATCTAATCTAAAAAGGTTAAGTGATGCTCCATTTTCTTCTAGCAGTTGGGACCTGAGCACTAACTCTTGTTCTAGCCCTATATGGCATATGGTTATAGCGCCATTACTCGCTTTCTGAAAAGAGAAGCAGGGAAGGGAAGGAGAGAAAAGGAAATATGGAATTCCTTTCCTTATTAGTATTGGTATTGTCAAGTTTTATAAAAACCATATAAATCATTTTGCCTTGGTCGACATTTGAATAAGATTGTCTTATCATTTGTTCAGGCTATCATAACAAACTATGACCGACGTGACGATTGTTTAAGCCCTGGTTAAACAAGTTAAATCACGTTCCCGAAACCAGTCAACAAAGTATCCCAAAATGGTTCAAGTGTGCGCCCTATTTTTCTAAACATTCCGACGCGTTCCGCCCAATATCTATCAATTAAGATTTTCTACAATAGTAGCCTGGGATAAATCCTAATTTCTAACCCCCCCCCCCCCCCACACACACAAAACTCAACTGTGTTCTCGCGCTCAAAAAATAGATCACGCGCGATTAAAGTTATCCCGGCAGGAAACAAACGGGTTGTTTTTAACTGGAACAAACTCACCAAATACAATCACCATGGCAGCACCAACAACTACATATTCGAGTCTTGTCACTATTAACAAGACATAAAAAATAACAAGGTCTAAAGTGTGTTCCCCTGCTCACTGAAAACTTTTGTTCCCCTCCTGTTCAGGACTAGAGTTCGGTGAAAATCTTGTTCCAGTAACACAACACGAAAAGGTGATCTACCAGCGTTACTGGATTGAAAAGATAAAATGAACAAAAAGGAACGAATTCACCAAGTTTAGCCAATTGAACCTAAAGGCAGCTTGAGATGTGTTGATGGTGTTCACATTGCACACAGATACATCAACACACTACAAACACTATTTGCTTCGTTTCCTTGGCCTTGGTTAAAAGCAGCTGGGTGGCATGCCGCCATGTTATTGAAACCAACATCTGAAACGTCACAATTCCAGTGTGAACTGCAAAAATGGCGTGACTGAATTGTCTTATTTTTATCAAATGAAATTATTTTCCCTTTTATGCCATATAAATGGTTGACTTCGTGGTAGAAAATCAGAAAATAATATTTTATGAGTCCTAAGTTTATTTTTCACAAAATGTAAGCAAAAATTTTAAGAATATCCATAATATCAGTCACGCCTTTTTTGAAATTCTGGATTGAATCTTCTATTTGTTTACAAATTATGAGCTGTCAGTGGGGCCCACGATTCGCGGGCCCGCAGCGATGTTAGCTCTTTTCAAGGCAAGGCAAACAAGATAGGGATGCCATCCAGCTGGTTAAAAGTCTTCTCTTCTTCCTGCTTGATCCGAATCTATTCGCCGTTCAAGGGAGTGCCACTGCACCGACGGGAAGCTGGAAATATCCTCGTGCTCCTCCAGCGTTAGTCCTCTGATTCCGGCTGCAGTTTTTCACCTGGTGGTGCTACTGCTGCGAGTGCTTCTTTATTGCTGCCGGCTGACCAACGGAACGCGTTTTGCACCCTTCGCTCGCGTTCGGCCTAAATTTCACATTAAACAAAATTGAAAAAAATTACGGGAGGACACAAAAATCGCGTCCGTTTACGAGCACCGCACACTTCGATCTCGTACACACGGTGATACCCTCTTAACACTCCAAACACGATGCCTCCGATAAAATGTGTAACGGCAAACTTGCAATGTTTGAAAAATCATAGCTCTGCCATTTAGTGACAAACTTCAAATCTATTGGCATTATTTGAAAGATTTATTCAGTGCCAATAGATTCAAAATCGATCGATCAATTGCTGAGCAATGATTTTTCAAACATTACCAATTTGCCGTTACACATTTTACCGGAGGCTGCGTGTTCGGAGTGTTAGAAAGCGTTTTTTACCATAGTTTTTATGTTTGACTGTTCTCATTTTTTCAATACTCTAGAAAGTATTGCCAAGATTATGGTTTGCGTCTCATCTCGTTTTACAGATCTGATCGCCCGTTTTAAAGTTCGAGTGGCATGTCGGTTCGTCGGTGCTAGCGCTGCGTAATGAAAGAGTTCTGAATTTTGAAAACCAATAAAAATGTAAAAGCAAAGATGGCAACTTCCGGATTCTGATAAAAAAAATACTGTTAAATATCCTACAATAAGGGTATTTTAAGATCGTAAACGATGTGTATCCAAAATGTTGACTGCCGGTTTTTATTTTCAATCTAAGATGGTGACTTCCGGGTTGTGAAAAACTGTCGAATACCCTACAATATGGGTATTTTTAGAATGAAAATTACGAAATCAGAAATCAATTATTTACGCCATTTTGGAATCCAAGAAGCAGAAGATAACAATATGTGTGTTTTCGAAACGGATACAACGATTAGAGACCGGAAATTGATTATTGACGGCATTTATTAATCAAAGATGGTGGTTTGCGGTTTTATAAAAACTAGTATCATCACAATATGTTTTTTAACGGCGGCGAATTATAAAGGCTGGAAATCAATGATTTACGCCTTTTTGATATCCAATACGCTGAAAATAACTATCATCGAAACAAAAATAATTGAGGTCAATATAAACTTAAACTCAGTTTGTTGTGGCCTTCCATTCCATTCCAACATTTGCATTATTGCCATCAAAAGATCCAGATGCATCCGTATTCAGAAGTGACGCGATGGCCAATTCGCTTTCGCGCTGCCGGTCTTTCCATGGGCAAACTTAATTTCTATATAAAGAATATATTTTTTTTTGAGGATAAAAAAAAAAAAGAGTTCTAAAAATTTTGAAAAGAACCTCAAGGTATTCTGAGGATGGACTTTTTCACAACTGTACAAAGTTTAAAGACAGATTTTGGATTCTCTAATTGAAAAGTGGGTATTAGTTTGCCATTGAACCTTGGTCTATTATTGTCTTACTAAAAAATCGTCTAATAATCTTCTTTGAAAATTTCAAGTCATTTGTTACCGTTGTTAAAAAGTTACAGCTGTTTATGTGCGTTGCAATGTTCGGCATCATCTTCTGTCACCCCGACTTTGGGACGGTTCATCATCGACATCGTCGATGGGATTAAATTGCCAATTTCCATTGGCTGTCTAAAAGTAGTTTGCATTTAAGAAGATGAATCACCACCGGAGCAAAAATAAATAAAATTAGCTAAATTAAACCGTAGGGAAACAGTGGTGAGTGGAACGAAACTATCTCACACACACTTTGGAGTACTCCCCATCCCCAGATTAAATGCACCATAGAAGAAGAAAAATTGCCCCTCTTAACAAGATTCCTGTGCATTGATTTAAGTTAATTTAAAAAAAAAAGTCATATTTTCAGCAAAAACTAGCCATAAATTTTCAAATAAAAGAAATAACAACTTAATTAGGGTGGCCCCTAGAAAATCGTTTATCTTTAAATATCTTTTTATAAGTTCATTTCTCATAAGAACTTTGTTCTAGACACTTTTAGATGACGCATATTTTTGCGTTTGGCCATTATGGCCATTTTTTACTGAAAATATTACTTTTCTTCAATTAAATAAAATTAAATGCCTTAAACAAAAAACGATGTTTGAAATGGAATCAAAAGTTTGAAAATTGATTTTATTCATTTAGAGATATTGACAATTGAAAAGGGCTATTTTTTCGAAGAAAATCACCTTTAACTTTCTAATCCAAAACGATAGCAACCAGGTTGCTTTAGCAAAAATATGCGTCATTAAAGATCTAAATGTGTTCAGAACAACGTGTTTACAAGAAATTAACGTATGAAAAGATATTCGAAGGAAACCGATTTTTTATGGGCCACCCTAACCTGCTTAAGTATAAGAAAATCATAACTCATGAACACTTAGAGAAATAAATTTGGTGTCTTTAGCAAAGTTGCTTCAAATTGATTGTTCTATAGCTTTTGTACGACTAACTACGACTTTGGGACTATTGTGCAATGTTGGTACCCGAAGTGACAGGGGTAACAAATCTAGGGTTCCAACTTTCCGGTCGTCTTCAGTCCCTCTAAATCCGCACCAACCCTTCCAAGGATCTAGTAGAACTCCGACCTGTTAAATACGAAACCTGTAGGTACCGGATCCAGCGTTGCTGCCTTCATCCCGCCACCGCAATCACCCCGTAATCGCCTGTAGTGTCTGAAGTGCTTCTATGATTTTCTTATGTAGAATTTCTTCTGGTCTTTATGAGTTTTCTATGTTCATTTTGGAATGTGTAACACTGGAGCACCTACTCTCACAAACCACTCTCGCAGCGCACTCATACCGAGCACCTGCCTCCTTCTGAAGGGAAGCGGCGGTAACGGCAAACAACTGCAGCCCAACATGAGCCGTTACCACCGTCTTTCCTTTCCTTCGTTTCCTCCCCCTCGATTACTCTTGATTTGGTTAGTTGACCTGAAAGACCAAAAGAAAGTTTTTTCAACCATTTGTTTCTTTCTTTGTTTGTTTTGGTATAAACCACCACGAAATTGCCCTGCTGCCTATCACTGTTTTAGTGATGACTTATTTCAAGCTCAACAACAGTTAGCCCGATGGGCGAGTGAGGACGTGGTTTCCGTGGTGGTAATGGAGCAAGGATCGGATTCGTCCCACGCGCAAGGTCCATCATCAGCCAGTACCATGCACGGCCATATTCAACAACATCCATCGCATCAGCAACAGCAGTTGCATCACGACAACAACAATACCAACATCACCACCACCACCACCACCAGCAACGTCAATGGAGTACCAGCAATGGGCAGCTGTCACAATATCACCAGTTTGAGTCATCAGCTGGTGAACAGCAGAGACTACTATCCTTCGCCACCCTCCACCGAGACCGAGAGCTCTGGAAGCGTGGTACAGCCGTCGAGACGTGGACCCATTATGCAAGGCCCAGGACCCGACGGAAATCTTATAATGGAGAATACAGGTCGCTATCCCGAATATAAACACTGATAGTAGCTAAACGGGATTTAATACTGCCAGAAATTGAATCCCCACTACAGCAACTAATGAACTAGAACGCAAACAAAAACAACAACAACAACAACAACAAAAACCATCACGAATACACTTAAGGCCCCCGTCTGGAAGTATTATTGATATTATTCCCTTGCTGGAATTTTTTAGAACATCTAGGAAAACCCGCAAAAATGAGCTGGAAAAATAAGCTAATCGAAAAATCGAAGCACACTACGTTCTAGCATAACTTTCTGGCAAGATGATAGTTGGAAAATTTTTGGGAAAATCCAACCCACAAAAAAACTGGGTTGTTTTTCCGACATGAAGACCACCCAATTCCGGCCGCGTGATTGCATAGGTGTAGACACCATGTTCTATCTTTCCCCTCTGATAGCTCGTGATCTTTATTCTAAAGTACCAGATAATTATATACTAGAAGATTCGTGAGAATGTCAGGAATCTTTTGGTGTAATCCAAAGTACAATTTTCCGACTTTCCTCGCATCGTTTTTCCATTTTCATTTCATGCATACCATTTTCCCGATATACCGGTACATGGCGAACAAGGCATGGGAAAGAAAAAAAAACTGTACTAAACACGAATGCGCGCGAGGAGCTTTCGGCTCACATGATTTTTGCGGACGGCTGACTGAAGCATGCGAATAGTGGTGTCGTATGTTTAGCAAAATATAATTCAAGTTGTTGATAATGAAAAAGGTCATCAAGAAATAAAATGCCTTTCCCTACATCCTCCATTTCGCCCTGAATGACAATGGGTCCAAATATGCACTGGGAAACATAGTGTTCTCTGCAGGTCGATGAAACTAGCTAGGTTACTTGTGTTTTCTTTGTTTGGAGTAAACATATAAATATTGTTTGGGAAGCAATACAAGCAATAAGCAAAATATCCTCCCACTTTGATATTGACTATATAATCTACACATAAGGTATTATTGATTTCCGTATCTAGGAATCACATTCAAAACTTCATATGGTATAATTGCCAATACCTCAAAAAGCTCCGCGATGCGGATAGAGTCCCCATTGACGGTGTGATTTGTTGTAAGATGTAGATCTCACCGAGCTGATTCAATTAATAATTACGATATTACAGCCGATAATGACAAGACTTTGTTATGATGAGTTCTGAAACTTTGCATAACTTATATCAGCAGAAAAAAATGCATCAGTTAGTTACAACATAGGCAATTGCTTTATTCCAAATGTCAGTAACATTTATTGATAAAGTGAAAACGTGATAATTATATACTATACTCAACTGTTGTAAAAAATTAATGCTTCGTTCAGAGTTGGGCACAGTTTAGTTAATCCACTAGGAATATTTTCGATAGCAATTATCGCTTCCGCTAATTTTTTAACCGATATAAAAAATCAGAGCAACCTGTATTTTGAGACATTCATGATTATAATTTATAAATTTTACACTAAAAGACTCCTGAAATAATGTTGGAATGAAAATGGTTAGCAACTATCGGTTATCGTTACCTCCCGATAATCACATTATCATTTTATTGTTTAGCGATTATCGAATTATACTGACGCATTATCTGTCATAGAAGTAATAGTAATAGTTTTTGGTTTGTTTGACAAACCTTGGTAACTTTATATAGATAGTGTAACAGTCAACTTCCGGCAGATATGAAAAGCGAAAATTACTTGCGACTACGATACATATCATTCTCATGAGAAGTGATCATCCCTACTTTCAGAAGAAAGAAATATTTATTTGCTTCGCGAAGAACGTCCTCAGCTTAGCGTACACTAATGTTCATAAATCTGGGGTTCCCTTGATGTTTCACTATCATGTATCTCTCATATCTAACATCAGCGAAAAGGTACTTTACAACATTATTCTAGAAAGTTGCAAAGATTATCATCAACATTTATTCATCATATCATTTTATCCTTCATTTCCACATCAAGGTCAGATAGGCTAGGTGATGTAGACCTTAATTTTTCATTTATGTGTTCCCGAACTTATCCTTGGTAGTGTACGAACAGAAACAGTGCAATGACGTGTACTAAAACCGAATATGAGCAACAGTTGTTCGTATTTTTGATTTTCATAAACCGGACCGACGCATCGATCAGTTCCAGTCTACAGCATGATGTGCTCCTCTCTACACATATCAGTCGGGAGTACGTAGACTTGGAAGTATGATGGTCAGCATTCTTATGTTGAACCGGCCTTCCCCGATACTGCACCTTGAAGGATGTTGCTTATGGCCATTTCTGAGATCCGAAAATATTTTTCCAGGTTTCCGAGAACGCCAAGTAACCAACTCCAGTGATATGTAAGAAAAAAACCCGTGGTTTCAATACCTACATGTGGTGTTCAGCATTTTCACGGAGAAGCTACCTCCCCGATACTTGAAAAATTGTTCCTGTGAACATTCCTTAGATTCGGTTATATTTTTACGAGTTTTTCAAAATGCCAAGTGACCATCTTCATTCATTCAACTACCGGTGTTTTCAGTAAGAGGAATTTATCCTAAATGTGGGTTCAGCATTTTTATGGAGAACCGACCTTCCTAGATACTGAACCATGAAGTTCTTATGGCCATTCCTGAGCTCACGAAATATTTTTAAAAGTTTCTTGAAATGCTAAGGGGCCAACTTCATTGATATTTCATTTCAAATACCGGTGATTTCAGTGGGAGGAAATTTACCTAAATGTGGTGATCTTGAAATGCCAAAGGACCAACTGCATTAATATTTGACTTCATATACCGGTGATTTTAGTGAGAGAGAATTAACCTAAATGTGGTGATCAATATTTGTATGGAGTATAATTCTTTCCTTATAATGGACCTTGAAGAATAGTTCCTGCGGCCATTCCTGAGATCCTGAAATATTTTTCCGAGTTGTCAAGGGACCATCTTCAATGATATTTGATTCCCCCACATCGCTGTTATCAGTAAGAGGAAATTATCCTTTATGTGGGTTCAACTTTTTCATGGAAAACCGGAAATCCGGAAATATTTTTAGTTTTTTGAAATGTTAACGGATCAACTTTATTGATATTTGACTTCAAATACCGGTGATTTCAGTGAGAGGAAATTTACCTAAATGTGGTAATTTATATTTATATGGAGAATAGGTCTTCCCCTAAACTGAACCTTGAAGAAAGGTTTCTATGACCAGTTCTGGGATCCGCAATTTTTCTCCAAGATTCTTGAATATACCAGCTATTTCTACACAGCGGAATCAAATAAGTGGTGTTCAATATTTTTTATGAAGTTCCTCCCTTCCCCGGTAGTGCACCTTGAAGTTATATTTCCTGTGGCCATTCCTGAGTGCTGGATTTTTTTCAAAGTTCTTGAAATGCCAAGGGACCAAGTGCAATGACATTTGAAATCAAATACCATTGATTTCAGTGAGAGGAAGTTAATCTAAATGTGGGTTCTGTATTTTCATGGTGAATAGGTCTTCCCCGATACTGTACTTTGAAAGATAGTACCTATGACTATTCCTGAGATCCGGAAATATTTTTCAGAGGTTTTGAAATGTCAAGGGACTAACATCAATGCTAATTGTTTGAGTTCAAATACTGGTGTGTTCCGTAAGATAAAATCAACCTAAATGTGGGTTCTGCATGTTCATGGAATGCCGGCATTCTCCGATACTGTACCTTGACGAATAGTTCCTGGGATTCAGATATATTTTTTGAGTTTCTTTAAACACCATGAAACCAACTGCAATGATATTTGAGCTCAAATACCGCTATTTGCAATAACAGGAAATCATCCTTAATATGGGTGCAGCATTTTCATGTAGGCCTCCCTTTGCTCAGTCGGTAAAGGCGCAGCTACAAAATAAGACCATTCCTGAACGTCACTGGGTTCGATTCTCGGTCCGGTCTAGGTTTTTTGGGTTAGGAAATATATCGAGTACCCTGAGCATAGAGTATGATTGTACTTGCTACTCAATTATACAATGCAAAAATAGTACAGGCATCGAAACTCTCAACTGTGGAAGTGCATATAGAAAACTAAGTTGAGAGCACGCAATAAGCTTGAAATGCGAACAATAAGAACAAGATTTACATGGGAAACCACCCTTTCCTGATACTGGACCTTGAAAAATAATTTCAAGGCCATTTTTGAGATCCGGAAATATATTTCCTAGTGTTGTGAAATGAAACGTGATAATATTCAATGATATATGAATGAACACAGCAAAACATTCTGAATTTTACTGGTGATGTAAACATCCATGCATGCAAACATTCATGCATGTAAACTTCCATTTCACGTAAACTAGCAACTTGCAAGAAATGTTGTTTACAAATATGGACAGTTGCGTAGAACAAGTGGAATATTTCATGTCTCATGCATGTCTCATAAATTTACACGATCTATAATGTAAACTTGTATGATATATGACACTCCATTTATGTGCATCATAGTAACGGTTATTTTCACTACTTTTTTTAACTGTGAAGGCAATTTATATTCACGTTAATTTACCGAATTGTAGAGTTTAGCATATTCATAGAGATAATACTACGGAGCCTTCTTTAGATCAGTCCGTTTTAGCATAGTTCCATTCTGGAGGCGGCTGGGTCCGATTCCTAGTTCAGTTCGGTGGTTATTCATCTATGCAAACATTGTATACATTTACGATATTTGACAAATCTCAGCTAATCATGACATTCACTTATTGCAAACAAAATTAATGAAAAAAACAATAGTACTGCAGTCCTGATTATCACCTGTGCATCGAAGAACTGAGTATGATTGTACAGCTTTCTCCCGAAGAACGTATTGCCGACTGTGTTTTACCCACCGCTTTTACTCGGCGGATTTTCAACCAACCGCTCTGATTTTCTGCGAGTGGCTAGTTCTCTATTGACACTACTAACATGCAAAAAATCATACCAACTGGTTGAAAACCTGCAGAAAAAGACGTGACGTTTTTCCCCATATCATTTCCATGACATTTACTCTGGTTATGACACTATTTATTAACAAAATTGA